TTGGAGGGGCGCTGCGCCCCCCCTGAAATTCAAGGTGTTTAAAAAAAAATATATATATATATATATAGCACCAAATTGCAACTAATCTCTATCTACTGTCACTTTTCACATTGAACATGTGCTCTTTTATTAAATAAACTAAACGCTTTCATTTTAAGTGAGTTTAGTGACCCTAAAAAACACTGATGCATTAATCAATAACAATAATCCACAGCTCCTCTCTCTGCTCCAGTGGATTTAAAAAATATATATCCTAATGCCAAACCACCTCCTTTCAGCAGGGGCCCACCCTGTGCCGATCACGGGCCCACATGGGTAGGTACATCTGTATAGGACATAAAACACATAAAACAGATAAAATAGTGCAAGAGAATGTTTTGAGATGTGCAAGTAAATACAAATACAATAGAAATAGTGCAAGAAGAGTCTATACACAAGTAAATGGAATATGATATATTGGATAAATAATTTGCAAAACAGATGAATGTTTATGGATGTTCTTTAACCTGTTCCACTCTGAGCCTGTTTTTCAGGTCTCAGGCTCGAAAATGACATTCCCAGAACAAATGACCCTTCTAAAAGGGTTAAATTAATAATCTTTTCTCAAAGTAATGATAAACCTGTGAGTTGGATGTAGAAGTGTCAGAATCAATATAAATGTTTTTTATTTTAAAGAAAATTCAGATTTTACATAGTAAAAAACTGTAAATTATAGTGTCCGTCCAAAAATTATTTTTTACAGATAGTGAAAACTACCCTTGGATGATGGGTTAGTAGACTAAAAGCTTTAGGGATCCAAAGTACAACATATAATAAGTACCCTGTATCAAGATTGATGCAAAACAAGTGAAATTTGACCTTTTTAGAGAGATTTAGCCAAAAACTGGGCCATCTGGGGTCATTTGGGTGGATTTGACCTATCTCTGGCCCCCCTTGCTCGATCTGGTTGGTTGACATACCCTTGTGACCGTTAGAGCCAATAGAATCGAAGGAGGAGAATCACATAGACACACATTGTAAAGAAAAAATGTTGCCGCTTCGCGTGTGGAAAGCGAAACTAAACTGGAGGAATGTCTCCTTCTGGAGTTTGGAAACTAAAACGCAGTTGTATTGCTTATGGATTATCAGAAATAATTTCAAAGAAGGCACAGACACATAGGATGAACCTATGGATTAACTGCAGCATCGTTTTTTTATCGTTTTAATGCCATTGAAGACCACTTTTGACCAAGGTAAGTCATATTTACATGTTTAGCTTCTTGGCTCCACATGTGATGATGTACGCTTTCGTTGATAGCGTCGCGAATGTTTATCACTGAGTGTTGAGGTGGGCACCGTTAGATTCAGTGTCTCCAGGACACCAAAAAATAGTGTTTGGTTGTGCATCTAGGATAAGTAATAAGGGAGTTCTGAGTGAGTTTATGTGCCTTTGTCGGTCCCGTTTTTTCGATCGAGGCTAATTCAGAGGCTGAGTGCTAGCATTGTGGTTTTTTTTTGAAAAAAAAAATTAAAAAGATCAGTTAGCTGAGTTTCTTCCCGTTACATGGATATAACACATTCATAGTTTTATTCAATATTAAGATTCCTTAGACGTTGTTTCCTGCAAATGACGCGTTTATCCGCCCGGTACCGGGGGGAAGGCGTGAAACAGGTTAACCTGTTAACCTGTTAAGCACCGAGCCTGTTTTTCATGTTTCAGGCTCGAAAATGACATGCCCAAAACAAATGACTACAACTTAACTTCTAAAAGGGTTATATGAATAATTTCTTTTATCAAAGCAAGGTTACATCTGTGAGTTGGATGTAGAAGTGTCAGAATCAATATAAATGTTTTTTATTTTAAAGAAAATTCAGATTTTACATAGTAAAAAACTGTAAATTATAGTGTCCGTCCAAATATTATTTTTTACAGATAGTGAAAACTACCCTTGGATGATGGGTTAGTAGACTAAAAGCTTTAGGAATCCAAAGTACAACATATAATAAGTACCCTGTATCAAGATTGATGCAAAACAAGTGAAATTTGACTTGATTTAGCCAAAAACCCCCACTTCTGGGGTCATTTGGGTGGATTTGACCTATCTCTGGCCCCCCTTACTCGATTGGGATCGTTGACACACCTTTCTGACCGTTAGAGCCAATAGAATCGAAGGGGGAGGCCCACACACACACTCGTTGTAAAGAGAAAAGGTGGGCGCTTCGCGTTTGAAAATCTAGGTTAGAGTGGAACTACATTCTAGCTCTGGCATTTGGAAAGTAAAACGCAGTTTTATTGCTTATGGATTATCAGAAATAATTTCAAAGAAGGCACAGATACATAGGATGAACCTATGGATTAACTGCAGCATCGTTTTATCGTTTTAATGCCATTGAAGACCAGTTTTGACCAAGGTAAGCCATGTTAGCGTTTCTAGCTACTTAGCTCCACATGTTATGATGTACGCTTTCGTTTATAGCGTCGCGAATGTTTATCACTGAGTATTGAAGAGGGCACCGTTAGATTCAGTGTCTCCAGGACACCAAAAATGAGTGGTTGGTTGTGCATCTAGGATAAGTAATAAGGGAGTTAGTGTGAGTTCAGGTGCCGCTTTACGTTACATTTTTTTCGCTCGTGGCTAATTCAGAGGCTGAGTGCTAGCATTGTGGGTTTTTTTTGAAAAAAAAAATTAAAAAGATCAGTTAGCTGAGTTTCTTCCCGTTACATGGATATAACACATTCATAGTTTTATTCAATATTAAGATTCCTTAGACGTTGTTTCCTGCAAATGACGCGTTTATCCGCCCGGTACCGGGCGGAAGGTGCGTAACAGGTTAAGCCCTGAACCTGTTTTTCAGGTCTCAGGCTCGAAAATGACATTCCCAGAACAAATGACCATATCTTCCCTTCTAAAAGGATTAAATTAATAATCTTTTTTCTCAAAGTAATGATAAACCTGTGAGTTGGATGTAGAAAAGTCAGAACAATATAGATGTTTTTTATTTTAAAGAAAATTCAGATTGAACATAGTAAAAAACTGTAAATTATAGTGTCCGTCCAAAAATTCTTTTTTACTTATAGTGAAAACCACCCTTGGATGATGGTAAGGTAGACTAAAAGCTTTAGGAATCCAAAGTACAACATATAATAAGTACCCTGTATCAAGATTGATGCAAAACAAGTGACATTTGACCTTTTTAGAGAGGTTTAGCCAAAACCACCCCACCTCTGAGGTGATTTGGGTGGAAATGTTTTTTTTCTCCATATCTCTGACCCCCCTTGGTCGATTTTGATGGTTGACACCTCTTTCTGACCGTTAGAGCCAATAGAATCGAAGGGGGATTCCCCCACACACACTCGTTGTAAAACAAAAAGCTGCGGGCTTTGCGCCTGTAGTTTTGCATGAGAGTGAACCTACACTCTAGCTCTGACATCTAGAAACGGAAAAGCAGTTTTATTGCTCATGGATTATCAGAAATCATTTCAAAGGGACACAGACACATTGGATTAACCTATGGATTAACTTCAGCAACGTTTTTATCATTTTAATGCCATTGAAGACCACTTTGTAGAGACTACAGAGACAAGGTAACCATGTTAGCATTTTTAGCTACCTAGCGCCTCATGTTTTGATGTCTGTTTTTGCTTATAACGTCGCGATTTCGTATAATTCAGTGATAATGAGGGTACCCTTCGATTCTGTGTCACCTCACGATGTGAAACGATGTCATAGATGTGCAGAAAAGATAAATAATAAGGTTTTGTGAGTGTTTTTCGGTGCAGTAATCTGTTAGCATTTTTCGCTCGTTGCTAATTCAGAGGCTCAGCGTTAGCATTGTGGGGGGTTTTTTGAAAAAAAAAAAAAAAATGATCAGTTAGATGAGTTTCTTCCCGTTACATGGATATAAAACATTCATAGTTTATTAAAGGGGACCTATCATGCAAAATGCACTTTTGTACGTCTTTTATACATGAATATGTGTCCCCGGTGTTCCAGGGAACTCACCAAGTGTCAGAAAACACAACCCTCTCTATTTTCCTCTATACCCAAATCTCTAAAAAAGGGGCTGCAACGGATCTGATAAAAACTGATCCAGATTTGAACACTGTCCTGACGTCAGGACAGTGGCGCTACGGCTATTGGGCCAACTCCACCAATCAGGAGGAGACAGCCACGGCCATTGCCGTTCGAAAGCGCTGGAGATGCTGTAGTACATATGCCAGGCCTGTAGATGGTGCTGTTCTCACATAATCTGCCCTTGCAAAAACAGAGCTAAAAAAATTCAAATTGAGCAAAATGAGGCATGGCTAAAATGCGTGATCTGTTTGGTATTTTGAAAAAAAAAAAGTATAAATATGCCTTATATAGGTATGGTCCTACACTATATTATTCAAATATAGCATGATAGGTCCACTTTAAATGAACATGCCCTCAGACACTGTTTCCTGCAAGATGTTGCGGCAGTGCCCCGGTACCGGGGTCTCTCGGGCTTAACAGGTTAAAAAATGCAGATGTTTAATAGTCTTATGGCCTGTGAGATGAAACTGCGTTCAGGTCAGATCTCAGACAGTGGAGTACTGAACTCCATCTTCACAGTTATGGGTATTGAAGCTCAAACTAATGTTTTGATTTGCCTGTTATACAAAACGATTGCACCATCTCAACTTTGTAATGTACGTTCAAGAAATGTATAGGCTTCAGATCAGGGGCATCTTGGGCGACTTGTCATTGTGCACAACGTGGAAGTAAAAGCAGTGCTTTGTTTACTTACATGTTACAATAAACGTGCTGTGTCACTTAAAGCAATGAATACTCACAATAGTGATCAAAATATTTGTGAATGTCATTTTGGCTATATTTCTGGAGCCCCAGAAAGTGTAAAAATGAACAAAGAACAAAGTAACTTCAGGAATGTACTACTGCTTTTTTGATGTTGTATTTTATTATTTTCATCGAGTGCAGCATGATAGACTCAGCTACAACCGCATCTCATTGTGCTTTATGATAATAAATTATCCTCACCGTGCAGCTCAGGTCCGAGTCGGCGCCAATCTTCACGGGGTAGTTATCCTGTTGCATCATGGGAACGCGGACAGGTTCCGCCCCGTCCACTTGGAAGTTCTCCATCACTCCACTCTGACCGAAGCGGGTCACCCACTTCCCTGTTCACAGCAGACACTGAGTTCATAGTCAGCCAACTTTATTGTCAATCTTTCAGTTTGTGTGTACAGACAGAGAGATTGAAATACCGTTTCCCACAATCCCAAATGCAAAAATACAAATATATATAAAAATATGTATGCAAATATATATATCCTATATATACACAATCAACAGACACATGTATACATATGCACACACACTGAAAAAACTGGAACGATGACTTTAATTAAATGTATTATGTCAACAAATTTCACACAACTGTATTAGGTTAGTTGAAAGCAATAATATTAAGTTGAACCTATTATGTTTTATCTAAACCTAACATTATTGCTTTCAACTAACCTAATACAGTTATGTTACAGTTGTTGACATAATACATTTAATTAAAGTCAAAGTTTCAGATTTTTCAGTGCATTAAGACATAAATAAAAGCACAACCATCAATATATACAAAATAATAGTCACTTTAATATCTTTGGGAAATGTAAATGTAAATTAGTGCAAGATTGTCCATAGCAGCTGGATCCTGAACATCAGAACCAGAGAACCAGAGCACCAGAGAACCAGAGAACCAGAGAACCAGAGAACCAGCCTCCCTTCATCGGACTCACCTTTGAAGTAGGAGGCGCTGACGGTGTGCACTGCAGCGTTTCGGGGGAGGGGCTTGGCCAGGAGGCGCTGCACCTTCCCTCCGGTCTCCTTAGACACCCAGGTGTTGATCTCGGACACGTCTTTGGATCCTCCCGCCAGAGTCTTAGGCCGAACTCCGTACTGCTGCTCCACCAGGGCGAAGAACTCCTGCTTTGGACGAATGCCTGAAGAACAAAGAGTTAAAAATGTCACGTACAGAACTCATCAAAATACTTAACATAGTTTGAGTTGTTTTTAGACATATAATGCAGAATAGTAACATATAACATACATATAACTGTTTTCATGTTTTACCCTATCTATGACTGCATTACAGTGTTTCCATTCAGAAGATCCAAAAAGGTTTGCCTTTATTTGATGAAAGATTTAGTTTGTTTTTAACACAAAAATACCTATAGTAAATCTGCTATTTCTGAGCTGGAGCAGCTCTCACGCAGAGAGAACTTCAGATTAATGTGTGACCTGAAGGCCAAACATCTGGAAACACAGATGTTTTCAGCTCACAAAGCAGATGGACTCCCACAATATTGCAATAATGAATCTTGTCAGCTTCATGTGTTGAGTTTGTGTAACCAGAGTCCTTTGAGGAGCTACAGGTGCGGTTCAGTTAGCAAAGAATGGCACTGAAGCCTTCCCCACAACCGTTGATCTGATTGGTTGCAGTAAGCCTGTGATTGAAATGGTTCATCTAATCAGCTGCCCAGTCTATATTGAAAGGACCTGCCAATCGCCAAACAGTTTCCAATGACGCACCAGAAGGTTATGGGTAATGCAAACAGGTACCAATTATTTCCCAAAAACTGACAAAAGCTGAAGCTCACCATCTTGTAGCTAGCATAACAACATTCACATGCTTCTTCAAAGATAATAATCTAGGCCAGTGGTTCCCAACCTTTTTTGTCTCGTGGACCCCTTGAGCTGGTCGCCATTCTCGAGGTACCTCCTACATTTTTTTTTGTGTTAAACCCTTTGTTATCGTATTAAACCCAACTGCTCCTTAGATGAA